TAATTACCTTAATTAATCTCGTTTAATTTCTCGAGGTGTTACAACTCCACCCCCTTAAAGAATTTCATCCTCAAAATTATGACTTACCTCAAAGCGAAAACAGATTGGGGTACTGCTCCTGCATCATTGTTTCAAGCTCCCATGTCGCTTCTTCAACTCCATGGGGCTGCCATAAAAATTTCACTAATGGAATCTCACGATGACACAAACTCTTCATCTTCCAATCAAGAATCTGAACTGGTGCTTCCTCGTATGTTGCATCATACTGTATCAGAACGTCATACCATTGCACCACGGCTTCCGGATCAGGTTGACATTTATGAAGCATGGATACATGGAACACGTCATGCACGTGAGATAGCTCAGGCGGTAAAGCCAGACGATACGCTACGATACCAACTCGTTGCACGATCAGGAATGGTCCAACGTACCTTGGCGCAAGTTTTCCTTTTACACCAAAACGAACAACTCCTTTGCATGGGAAAACCTTCAACAAAACGAAGTCGCCTTCTTGGAATTTCAAAGGTCTACGCCTTCTGTCAGCATAGCTCTTTCGACAACCTTGAGCCGTTAACAATCGTTCTTGAATAATAGCTATCTTCTCGTTATTCTCTTGAATAACTTTTGGTCCAGTAGTAAGTCGATCTTCTAGTTCGAGCCAACAAACAGGTGATCTACAAGGTCGACCACAAGGAGCTTCGAACGAAGCCATGCCGATACTGGCCTGATAGCCGTTTGAGGGTGTACACAAGCTCCGTTCATTTCACCGATTCAAGTTCAGAATTTGAGTTTTGCTACAGTAATAAACTTTCAGAAATAGTCATATCTAATTTTTTTTGCTATAGTAAAAAGCTCTCACATAAAATCACATCTCAACTCAAATTAAAATTTCGAATCAGCGAACTAAATAGACCCTTATAGTATACTACACTAACCGTCTTTTCAAACTTCCGAAATGGAACTTTTGCAATTTCCCCTCAAATGATACAATTTGCTAACAGTTTTTAAAGCATCTTAAATTTCAAATTCTCTACTCGCCAATTCTTTTTTTTATTTTTTTCAAAATAAAAGCCTCTTAAATTTCATATTTCCCCACTAGTTCAAAATCCAATAAAAACTTGAGAAGAATGGGGAAAAGTATCAATTCACCCAATATTATTCCCCTTCATGTCAAAAAAGAATTTACGTGATAAAAAATCTTAAATTTTTTTTTCTAGTGTCAAAATGAAAATTTATGTGGAAAAAATATGTGTACTAGTCGTAAATGAACTATTTACACGGCACACTACTATTTACTTCAAACAATTTGCTATTTACTTAATTTAGTTTCATAAATCTACTATTTACAACGTTCTCCCCTTATAACAATGTCGTGCTTCGTAAATTCTTAATGTGTGCTGGAGGGTACGACGTGGCGAGGGCGTGCACGTGTAAGTATTTGAGTCGTTGGTGGTAGTTCCAATGTGGCCAAAATACTTAATGGGCCTTCAAAGTAGACAAAGATGGTAGGACTTCCGACGATGGTGTGGTTCGCTAGGCCTAAATTAGGCTAAAGAGCAAGTGTTCTAGGGTCCTCTTTGTTGCCAAAATCATGAAAATACTCCTTTAAAAAATGTTAGAAAATCTAGAAAATAATAATGAAGAACTTCGCGAATGAAGAATCGTGGGATAAGTGATCACGTAGTTGATGGAGGAGTGACTCGAGAGGTGGATAAGGCTTTTGGATGGAGAAGGGCTCTAAAAGCAGTTTGCGAGCTGTTTTGGGGCTTTACGTATGTAGCTTCGCTGGTGGATAAGGTGTTGATGGATAAAAGAGTGATAGGGAGGAGTCTGATGCAGGTTGTTCTGAGAGCGTGGAGATCGTTCGGAGCACTCCCTCCCATGGTAGACGAGAGTGACTCCGAGGTTGGAGGCTAGAATACTTTCGGGAAAGTATGAAGATAACTCTCAGAACACTCTCAGGTGGTGTTGGAAGAGGATTGAAAAGTGTTCTTAAGGAGTTTCTAAGGTGGTCAACACTTAGAAATTATGAGGTTCCTCAAGAACTTGAAGAAGGCTCTAAGTCTTTATAGCGAAAGACTTGAAGAAAGCACTCAAAGGGAGAGTTTCAGCACTCTGATGTGCAGGTGTATTGGTGTTGAAATGAAGAAGCTGAGGGGGTATTTATAGGAGTAAATAAGAGTGCTTGATAGCTGCTTTGGTAGATGTCTAAACACTCATTTCCATTTGGAGGAAGGCTATCATGAGCCTTTCTTAGTTTGACAAAGAGATAGTCCAGAAATGGAATAGAAGATTTTGGAAATGAAGGAACGGCGGCGGGCTGTTAGAACATTCCCATTCGGAGGAAAGGTATAAGATAGCTTTCTGATTTTGACAAATAGACTCACGAAAAATGGGATGAAAAGTTTCTGGATATTTACTCTGGCGGCGTTCTGATGAAGTAAGGCACAAGCAATTCCATTTGGAGCAAAATCCCAGCTACCTTGTCGGACGAGGCAAAATGATACTTTAGAAGCAGAAATACTTGAAGGCCACGTTCCAGATTTTAGGCTAACGCGAAGTGACTTCAGACCTGAAATATCCAAGAGTGTTTGACTTAGCCAAGTACTCCGAAGACTTTCCTTTTTTAGGGGTCTGATCTTGTGTTAGACCTTCGTCAGGGATTGTTTGTACGAGAATGACCAGGCAACCATTGTACTTGCTATGACACCAGGTTGTTCTAAATGCGCACGAGTGCTCCGAATGGACAACCTGATATGGAGAAGAGCTGAGAAAGCATGCTTGACACGAGGAGTGCTCCGAGAGGCATATCTGGTCGCGACAAAATCCTCCAAATGAGCCAAGAATAATGGATTTATCAGGCCTTTTAGTTAGAGAAAATTTTTGAAGGATCAGGCTTAGGTTTTGGGCCTTTTAAGTGCTGAAATAAGGGATTTTAGGCTTCTAAAGATGAGGGAAGGCTTTCTTGGGTTGAATCATCCATCACACATTAATGCTTAATTTGACTAATTTTAAAAAACACCCCAAATAGGTTTCAAAATGGGTCAAATTAAAGACAAATAGGCCTATGTGATCACTCATGGCCTACCAAACAACAACCCACGGGAGTTCTCTAAGCGTAGTTTGGGTCTACAAAACGAGCCTAATGACGTCGCAGGACCTAAAGGATTAGGCCTGGAACCTTAGTGGATCCGGTATGAATTCAGGTATTAACAATGTGAACATTTATAAAACATGAATTAAATGTGAGTATAATAGTTCTTACAGGTAGGCTAAAATAGCAATTTTTAAGAGTTTCTAATTGCTTCCAAATAAGAATATCTTTTTTTTTAAGTACTAAAGATTCTGACCCAATTTTTTGTGTACTCTCATGATTATGTTTTGTTTTAAATTATTCCTTGTGAAAAACAAGGAAATGGGAACAAAAGTTGTCTCTTTCATAGGCACCAAAATGGACTCTTTAGGAGA